AGCCCCAGGGGCTGACCTGCAGCACCGGGCGGGGGGTGAGGCTCCCCGGGAAGAGCTGCCCATCACAGACCCTCAGCTCAGGCACGGGCGGGAGGGCCGTCATGATGTGGGGTCACTGTGTCTAAACATTCCACAGCCTCCATGCCTGTGGCAGGGTAAAGCTGGTAAGGCCAACACCCTCCTGGGCATTTTGTTTTAGAATTTTAGCCCCCTGCAATGGACTGAATGTTTGTGGCCCCGCCCCCATCCATCCGGTGAGATCCTAAAGGGGGGAGGCGCCCACTTGTGATGGTACTTGGAGGCGGGGCCTTTGGGAGGTGCTTAGCTCACAGGACCCCTCCTATAAGAGACCCCAGCAGGCTCCCTCAGCCCTTCTGACATGTGAGGACACAGCCCGAAGATGGCCTTCCATGAACTAGGAATCAGGCCCTCACCTTTATCTTGGACTTCCAGCTCCCAGAACTGACAGAAATAAATTTCTATTGTTTCTAAGCTCCCTAGTCTAGGGCATTCTGTCATAGCAGCAGATGGAGCACATGAAGACATGCCTTTTCTTTGTTTATCACCACACTGTCTCTTTACGCTCTTTGGGAAGCATTCGCTTGGCTGTGGCGACAGTAGGGAGCAAACTTATCGCCACACAAGTTGGGTTTTAGTGTGGGTGATCTGGCACACTCCCCATTTTTTTTTTAGTGTTTTTTAGGCTTTGTTTTTGACACGCCCCCACCCCCTTCAAACTTCTATTTAAGATCACGGGCTGTCGTGGCAGCCATCAAATTCACCGTCTTCTGAATGTCTATCTCACTGCCAATGTTTGGGGGAAACAGGTAGGATTCTGATGGCAGGTGTGCCAGGCAAAGATGCGGTCCTGTTTACAGGGCCTGCGGGGACACCTGTGGGGGTGTGTGGCGGGGGCGAGAAGAACAATTCAGGGTCCGCAGCTCCCGGAGTATCCATGCTTGGCTGCCATTCTGCCCCGGCCCAAGGACAGAAAGCTTGGAACAGAACAAAACCCCTTCGGTTGTGACTGTCCAGCTACCTGGAGTCAAGCCCATTTCTGTGCTGTCCCCAGGTCCGGACCAGCTGGGATTACGAGCTGGTGGAGAAGTCAGTGCGAAAACCTCTCCGTTCCTACATGGCCTCCCTGAACTCCTGGGGGGAACCGGAGAATCCATGTCCAATAGGGCACGGGGCGGGGGGTGTGTGTGGGGAGGGGACAATTTCTGTTTTAGATTAACAGGAGGATTTATCATGCCAGAAGGTCAATATTTACCTTGGCTTCAGATTGATGAGTATTACCGCTCTGTTCAGTGGCTCTCTCTGCTGACTTCAGCAAAACAGAAGATCTGCTTTTTGTCTGCGATAGTGGATGCTGACTGATAGTTTCTTATCAGAAAGTCCTGCTAACGGAGTTGTGGAGGGGCCCACTATTCTATTGTGTGTATGTGTGTGCGTGCGGGGCGGGGGTGGGTGGGTGGCGTCTCCCTCCACCAAGAAATCTGATCCCTCTTTGTACAAACAGCCCGTTTTTAAGGCACTTTTGAACTTACAACAGGAAGGGAAGCACACGGTCCTGGACAATCACTTGTCTCCCCACTCCCTGTCTGCAGAGGAATTCTGAGCCTCCCTGCCTGTCCATGTCTGGCTTGTGGCAAACGGTGGAGGAGGTCACGAAGGCCCAGCCATCCTCACTCGGCCGATTTTCATTATATTGAGGTTGGGAGAGAGGAGGTTATGTGATCGCCCAAGGTCATCAAGGAAGAGAGGAAGACAGAGTCAGCCCTGCAGTCAGAGTCCCAGCTGCAAGCCCTTACGGCTCAATGCCTTGGGCTCTCGGGATCGATGGCTTCTGCCTCTCCCCAAGTGTTACGGTGTATTTGTGAGATGCTGCGGGCACCAGTGCGGAATATAGACACAAGTACTTGTGTGGAGCTCTGATGAAGGCCATCCGGTCAATTCTAGTGATTGAGGGCCCCTAGACTTTCTGAAGGTACCGCCTGACCCTTTATTTCAGGGCCCTCAAACATTCCCACTTTTGTCACCCACCACAAGTAAGTTTTATCTTAAAAACAAAAACACGCAAATTGTACATCCTTTACAAATATTCTCATAGTTGTTTTAAAATAAAGTTTTGTTTCAGGGCGCCTGGGGGATTCAGTCGGTTAAGCATCTGACTTCGGCTCAGGTCATGATCACATGGTTCGTGGGTTTGAGCCCACATCTGGGTCTGCGCTGGGGATCCTAAGCATCTCCTCTGAGAAAGCTCTGCACACACTGGGGTAGGAGCCCTACCTGGGGGGATCTGAGAAGAGTGGTGTTCTTCAAGTTTATTCCTCACCAAAGCCTTGCAAATGATCATAATTAACATGTATTGAGTGTTATAAGATGTTGCCAGCACTGAATTCAAGCACTTCATGTGAAGAATTCATTGACTTCTTTTAACAAACCCATACATTAGGTGCTGTGATTATTATTCTGATTTTACAGATGAGGATGCCCAGAGAGGTTAGGTAACACATCCAAAGTCACACAGCTGGTACTTGTTGAAGTTGGGTTCTATTCACTGGTGTTCCCCTGGGGGGGGAGGGGGACTTGGAGCGTGTTGCCACTGACCACTTCGCCCTTCTTCTTGGCTCCCATGGCCCCATTTTGGGGAGGGGGGTTGCAGCAGCTGAAAATCTTACCTACAAGAGTGACAGCTTAATGAGCTTGGGTATATCCACAGTTGCCTTAGAGAGGGGAGTGGAGGATGAAGAGAAGACTGAATGACTGAAGGCCAGACCTGGAAAGATGTTCAGAGACAAGCCAGTACACTTTTCACTTTACAAACGAAGACGCTGGGAAGGACCAGAGAGGGGAGTTTACGCCAGGTGTGAGTGGGGGAGCCGGGAACAGACCCTGGGCTTCTGGGTCTGAGTGGTGTAGGCGATATCATACTTCTTTTCCTGACTTTATGCATCTTTGTCTTTTTATCCTTTACCATCTAAATGGAACTACCTCTTGTTTGCAGAACTTTTGTCCCAACTGCTAGCTGCCTTTTGCCATTTTTTTTTTTACTTTATTTATTTATTTTGAGAGAGAGCGAGCAAGAGCGAGAGCAAGAGAGAGAGCGCTCGGGAGGGGCAGAGAGAGAGAGAGAGAGGGAGAGTGAATCCCAAGCAGGCTTCGTGCTTTCACTGCAGAGCCCTACGTGAGGCTTGAACTCACAAACCATGAGATTGTGACCTGAGCTGAAATCTAGAGTTGGACACCTAACCTACTGAGCCACCCAGGCACCCCTGCCTTTTGCCATTTTTTAAAAATTTTTTTAATTTTTATTTCTAGGAGAGAGAGAGAGCGTGAGCAGGGGAGGGTCAGAGTGAGAGGGAGATACAGACTCTGAAATTGGCTCCAGGCTCTGAGCTGGCAGTCAGCACAGAGCCCGACGCGGGGCTCGAACCCACGAACCACGAGATCATGACCCAAGCGAAAGTTGGACGCTTAACCGACTAAGCCACCCAGACGCCCCGCCTTTTGCCATTTTAACGCCTTCTTTAACTAAGAATAGTGCAGGTACCCCGAGGGTGACAGCCATATTATTCGCTTCTCTACCAGCCTTCACTGTGTGCAGCGCGGGGCTGGGCACACAGAAGTTTCCTGGCACACATTCATGGGGCCAGAATGGACTTATTGTCCTAGACAGGAAGCGGAGGACCAAACTCAGACAACTCTCAGTCCTGAAGTTGCTGGGATGAATTAATTCTTTTCCTGAAGCTTTCACCCTAAAAGAATCCTGCGGTGCACGGAGTAGTGTGATACCTCCTTTTTCTCGGCCCCTCTTGCTTGGGTGCAGCTTGCAGCACTGGAAAAATGACTTTAAGATAAAAACGAACTTCTTAAAAAAAAAAATCTTGTTCCTTTACTGTCACGCCTGCAGCATATAGCTAATTTATAGCTCCATGGAATTTCTCTGGTCTTTAAGGTCTCATTAGGCAAGTAAAGGAGAGGAAGGAGGAAGACAGAATGCTTACAAATTCCTGGGGGGCGGGCAATGACCTCACACTTACTGGGTGTTAGCCAACTGCCCAAGGACCATAGTTCAGATTCCTTCTGGGGAGGCCTTTAAAATCCCCTGATAACCCAAACTCTTCAAATCTTTTAGGTCTTGAGGGAGAGGTGGAGGGCAAGATGGAAGCCGTTCTAGGTGCAAGTGACATTCCCCATTAATGGCCGCCTCCTCTGAGATGGACTGTATCCATCCTGAATCCTATTCAGAGACTCGGGACTTGGGAAGTCCACCGAAAAAGCCTCAGCAGGATGGCAGGGAATTGCGTGGAGAAAGATGGGTAGTTTGGGGAGAAGGTGAAGCAGGTTGGATATATGTTGGGGTAGGTACTCAAGAGGGTACATATAGGATATAGAAACAAGGGGACAAAAGCCACAGGAGTGGGCCTTCCCATCCACATCTCCAAAGGCATTTTCTTCTCTTCCCCTAAAAACAATTCCAGAATTCTCTTACAAAATGTACTGCAGCCCATTAAGCACTTCCATATTGGATGGCTTCTCTCCAGACTTACGGGGCATTTTACAGACTAGGAGCTCCCCACTGTTAAAGAGGCCAGGAGGCAGCCTCAGGGCCTCCTCAGCCCCTCGGATGCTTTGGGGGAGAATCAGAAAGACTCTCAATCTGGGGAGAAGGGGCACAGCCTAGATTTCAGGTCCCACCTGTTCCTTCCCTGAGGCACAGCGCTCTGGAGATCTTGCAGCTCAGAAAAGATCAACTTGGGGCCAGGTGGCTGGCCGGCTCAGCGTGTGATCTGGGACTCCCCTGCCCATCTGTAAAAGGTGGGACTGTAATTCGATCTCCCCTCCCCCGCAGCTACTTCCCAGATCTGATGCCTCGAGATTCCAAGGACAACTTCTCACCCAAAGTCCAGCGCTTTCCTCATTCCTGGCTACAGCTCACCTTGGAGAGAGTTGGGAAGGTGGAGGGTGGAGGTGACAAGAGAGAGGATTCTAGGGAAGGCTGGGTGTGCCAATACTTTGGTCCAAAGGGCCCTAGACCAGGAGCGTGCTATTTTTCTGGCTTAACTCTTTTGGGCCTCTGTTTCCACCTCTGAAAAATGGGAACGGTGCCACCGAATAGAGGGCAACGTTGTGGGGATTTCGCCCAGGTGAAATAGCCAGTCATGAAGTGGGTGCCCCACGGGCGTTTGTGGACCCGAAGAGGGCTTGATTGGGAAGGTTCTCGAGTGTGGGCGCGAGGACGCAGTGACGAGGTCTGGCCTTCCAGGCACGCGGCTCCCCCAGACCCCCAGTTCTGCAGCCGCTGCGGCCTCCTCGGCCCCGGACCGCCGAGGGTTAATGAAAAAGCCCCACGCCCCCTTTGACGGCGCAGAGCCCACCTCGCCGAATTTGAAAAGGCGGCCCCGGAGAGGCGTGGGCGCCCCCCAGAAACTCCCAACTCGTACCCGGGCTCTGCTCGCTCGCCGGCTCGCTCGCTCTGCTCCCGGCGGGGGCCGCGGGTTCGGTCCGGCCTGTCCTGCCGCCCGGGCTCCGGGTCCCCGCGGGCGGCCGCGCAAGATGAAGCTGGCTCTCCTCCTGCCCTGGGCGTGCTGCTGCCTCTGCGGGTCGGCGCTGGCCACCGGCTTCCTGTACCCCTTCCCGGCCGCAGCCCTGCAGCAGCACGGCTACCCCGAGCCGGGCGCCGGCTCCCCGGGCAGCGGCTACGGGAGCCGCCGGTGAGTAGCGCGGGGACGGCGGGGCCTGGGGACGGCCGGGGGCTGGGGGCTGCCGGGCGGAGGGCGCCGGGCGGTGGGGTGGGGGCATGGAGCGCTGGGCGGTGGGACTGGGGACTCGGGCGGGCCTGGGCTGGGGGCGCGGGGTCGGGATTGCGACGGTCTCTGGCCGCGCCCACATTCACTCTTCCTTTTTTTTCTCCCCCAACCTTCTCCCCTTCGGCCCCCGGCTCCGAGCGGAGGTGGCCCAAACCTGCGGGGGCTGGGGGAGGGCCGCGAGGAGGGGGCGACCGGGGCCCGTTGGGGCTGCGCGGCTCAGTCCCTGGATGTTTACCGGCTCACGTGGCTCCGCCGCGCTCACCTGCGCGGCCGCGGCTTTGTGCTGGGGAGCAGGTTCCCGGGTTGCCGGGGCCGAGCGTCCGGGTCTCCCGCCTCTCTTGCTTGCACCCAGGGATACCCGGGGTGGGGGGTGGGGGAACGATTCCGTCCCGTCCTGGAGGTCCCCCCAGGCGTCTGCTGCGCCCCTCCCTCCCCCAGCCACCTGGAAACGTGGAACCGGACTCGGATCGGATGGATCCGCTGTGGGGCCGGAGAAGGAGCGAGGTCACCGAGCCCGAGGTGCCGGGACGCCCCGGTGGCCTCCTCCTCTGCCGGCAGGTGGCGCCCTGGCCACCCCCGGGACGGTTAGGGCAGCGTCTGCTCACCGCGAGGTTGAATCCCCGCAGAAAACGCGTAAGCACGCAAGTAAAAGTTGCCAAACGCCTTCGTTTGCGCAGCTCGGTCGAATTCAGTATTTCTTGTCTCGTATTTACAGCCCACAGAGCTGTGATAGCCCTCGTACGTGCATTCGTACTTTCCTTGCCTTTCGATCCTAAAACCCTTCCACGGTACCGATTACAGTGTTGTCTTCCCTTCGAGTGAGGAAATTGAACCCCAGAGGCAACTCAGGACTGACCTTCTGTCTGCTTTCTCTGAATCCTGCCCTTTCTACCGCAGCACTCTGCTTATTGTTAAGGAGGAAGGCAAGAGACAGGTCCCAACGACTTCTCTTCATTGATATTTATTTACCAAAACCCCGGAGAGCTACCAAGATGAATCCTGGAAATGAATGTCTCATAGCCCCGGGGAAGCAGGGATGTTTTGTGCTGGTTAGGCTGTACGCTTAACGGCTGGGTAAGGCCAGACTCCAGACTCAGGAAAGAAAAAAAATAAAAAAAGAAAAGAAAAGAAAAAAAGTGCTTCTGGAAAACTTTGCATACAATTTTATTTCCTTCATTTTGTTTGGACTCCTTACCCTGGAGTTCTATTCGTATTTTCTCCAGACACCCACGGTAGTGTGGGCTCTGCACACTTCCATATGAGGATAGTCTGAAAAAAACAAGCTTTTCAAATTGTGGAGTGATCTGTACATGATGTCATTTATGAAAAAACATCCTGGTTTGGGGGGAGGTAAACGCCCAGAAAGAAAGCCAGTGGGCAAACATTTCCTGCAGTTACCTATAGGGAGAGTCCAGAGGAGTAAGGGCAGGGGTGTGAGGTAGGTGGACTTCCATTTTCTCCCTCGATTTCCTGGTGTCGTTTGCATCTTTCACGAGGACCATGTATATTCCTGTATTATTTTTGCAATTAAAAAGTGTGGGAAGGAAAAGAAAAAAAAAAAAAAAAGGGAAAGGCTCCCGCAGGGTGGAACACGCATGCTGGGAAGACGCAGACGTGAGGTCCCTGTAGGGAGTGAGTGGATGGGGACAGGAGGTTCTGGTGTTTGGTGGGGTGCAACTTGGGGACCGCCGCAGAAGCTTGGAAAGGACTGTTTTAGTGTAAATAAAAAGAGACCCAAACAACCGTGGTAATCTTCCAGAACTCTTTCTACCAGGATGGGAGCCGGGAGAAGGTATAATTGGGTTCAGGAAGGATCTGAATGAAGCTGTGGAAAATGGATTCCTCCATAGGATACTTGGAGGTGTGAAGGAGGCTTGGGGCAGGCTCCAGGTGCTAGCGGCCGATGCCCTGGAGCGCCACTGAGCTCTGCTAGGCAAAGTCCAGCGTGCGTAGGGAGGCAGGCCTGGGTTGGCCTGGTGTCACGTTCCTGCGTCTCATGAGCCATCAGTCACAGGTGGCCTGTATCTTTGGAATTCAAGAGCCCCAGAAGCAGAGGGCTTGGAGGCCACGTTTGGCGCGGTGCCCTTCGTAGCCCTGGCCTCTGCCTTGGCTCCATAAGTGTGTTTACAGTGGCTTGGTCACAGTCTACAGGCCAAGGGACAGAGCTGTTTCTGACAAATGGTCTTCCTTTATTTCACAGTATTGCTCCTGTTGGCATCTGATTTTTGCATGCAGTTTGTGTTCTCCTTCTTGGGCGTGTGTGCATGCACACCATGGGCATGTGTCTGTGCCCATTCTTCTGGGCCCAGGCCTGCCTGGGTCTGACGTGTGTTGGGGGCATCTTGCCTAACCTGGGATGCTCCGCTCTGGTCAGCTCTGCCAGAAGCCCAGGGTGGACCCTTCTCTGGAAGCAATTTTGGTAAAACGAAGAGGACTTCCTCAGAGGGCTGTTCCCCGAAGAATCTATCAACCCTGCGAATGGGCTGCTAATTTGCCAGTTATAGAGCTGTTCAGGTGCCAAATAAAAGCTGAAGGGAAGTGTGGTATTAGTGGACATGCAGGGCTGCACTAAGAACTGAGCCTCAGTGTGCCTGGATGGCTCAGTGGGTTAAGCATCCGTCTTTGGCTCAGGTCCTGATCTCCCAGCCCATGAGTTCTAGCCCTGCATCGGGCTCTCTGCTCTCAATGCAGAGCCTGCTTTGGATCCTCTGTCCTCCTCTCGCTCTGTCTCTCCCCTACCAAATAAAAAAACGTTACAAATAGAACTTGAGGCATCTGGGTGGCTCAGTTGGTTAAGTGTCCAACTCTAGATTTCAGCTCAGGTCACGATCTTGTGGTTCGTGAGTTTGAGCCCCGCATTGGGCTCTGTGCTGGCAAGTTCAGAGCCTGCTTTGGATTCTTTCTCTTTGTCTTTCCCTGGCTCATACTCTCTCTCTCTCTCAAAATAAACTTAAAAAAAAAAAAACCTTAAAAAAACTTAACAGTAAAAGAACTGAGCCCCCAATGCCCCCCTCAGTTTTCCCATTCTATGCTAGTAAGTATAATACATTTGTGAAACTCTTTAAAGTATGCAGATTTCACTCACTCCCCCTCCTCTTTTCCTCTTTCCCTCCCTCCCGCCTCTGCCACAGATGTTTACTGGGGGGTCTTGTCTGTTGTCCCCTCCTCCCCTCTGTATCTGATCCTAAAGGGGCCAGAGCAGCTGTGAGTGATCAGGGCACAAGGATGAGACCAGAGAAGGGGCCCCACGGCTTCTCTGTGTGGTGTGTTTAGCGCAGGGAGAACTTTTAATTTGAGTAAAAGATAGAAAGCTTTAATATTAATTTTTGGTGTGGCTGTGTTCTTCTGACTAGGAGAAACCAGAGGAGATGTGGGACCTGCCCAGATTTCAGTGGGGGAAGGACTGAATATGTCCAGAGAGGGGGGTCGTGGGGCAGGCGACAAAAGGCAAAGCTGTTTTTTGCTTCTCCCCTGAAGAACTCTCTTTTCCACTCTCAGGGCCCAAGGCATGAGAACCAATGGAGCCCACACACTATAAGGCCAAATGTCTATGTGCTATGACTCAGGCTAACGGATGGTTAAATAAGTGGGTTCTGTCCTCCAGCCTTGATGAGTGTACCTTCTCAATCAGCTGGAAAGCCAGGTCAGTGAGGAATTCATAGATTCTGTAGCATTTTGTTCCGGAAAACAGGGCAAGGGGCTTTATGCACAGGCTTGTGGGTCCCTCAAGATGCATGTCCAAGTTCACTCCACACCCCGCGGCCTAGAAGGGGGCATGCTGGCTACGGGGTCTGCCTCAGAAGGTGGCCTGGATGGGCACACCCTCTTGGTCCCAACAGCCTTGTCATCTGGCAGGAGGGGCCCGGGCAGAGGAGGCCAGAGCAGGGTCCGGTCAAGTGCAAGGCCCAGGGCTGGGCCAGGTCTAGGGGCCCACCGCTCCTCCCCTCCTCAGCACGGTGGAGGCTTCAGGCTCGGCCCGTAGTTCACAATATGGACTAGCCGGTGTTACCGACCATCCCCGAACTGTTTTCCTGGTCTTCGCGATGAGGGCAGTACAGAGGCCAGGACACAGGGCCTGTAGCGTGCGGGTGCCCTTGTGCCAGGCCACACCTTTGTTGAATCGGATACCAGCTGATGGCCTGTTCCATCCTCATGGCTTTTCCTGCGTGAACATCTTCCCACACCCCCTGAGGCCACCCACTGCCCTCGCCTCCCCTGTTCCGTCATAATTCTGGGCATCTGGATGTCCAGGTGTGACTCACCAACACGCCATGGTACTCTAAGCCTCTCCCGCCCCTCCCCTCCACCTCAGCCGCCATCCTTGGCCTGGCGGGCTCTTAATTCCTCGCAGGACTGTCACACCTCAGTGTCTCGGTATCATAAATTCTGGACCCAGGCTCTTCCATCCCACCCCTCACTCGCGCGGCTGACTCCTCCTTTGCTCACTCTGTCTTCTCTTAGCCTTGCCAACCGTCTGGTCCTGGTGGCCTTCCTACCTTCAACTTCCTGTCCCCTTGACCTTCCCTCCCAGCTTCCTAGAAAGGCATGCCCCTCCCCGCCCAGAGGACCCTCCTTCCAACCTTCTTCTGGAGGGTCATGAGGGCCGTCTATCTGCTTTAACGAGGTTATTGCATATGGGTAGTGGTGAAGGGGTCTGGCATCCTGTCCCTCTGTCCAGGAACCCGGCTGTGTGTGGCCAACCCTTTGGTGGTGGGGCTGTGTAGCGTGGTCTATGACCAACCTAGCCACTGTCCCTCGGGGCCCGTTTTCGTTCTACAAGGATGTCTTCCTCTTCTGCACCGCCGCCCGATGGACCTTTCTCTCGCCCTCCTCTGGTCAGAGCCCTTTGGTCGCCCACCATCTCGTGCCTCAGCCTGGCAGACAGATTTCAGTTGTTAGGCCAA